TTCCTTAATTAGGAGGTATTGGAGTCCCTAGGTACTGGTCCGACCTTTGGTGGTCCCTTTGTGGGATGGGTCTTTTGACAAGGCTAGGGCCCAAAACCCATTTATCCGAAGCCCTTCACAGCTGCCTGGAGTAGGCTGTGTGGTGTGCTACAACAGCTAGCAGGAGCTGCAATTCGTTTCGAAGCCTTTGGAACTTGGGCTTCGTGGTCAACTGGCTCCTGAAGACCCGACATCGAATCCCTCCCCGCCGCCACAGCACCACACCCAATTTGGCTTGCCTTGTGTTTTTGCCACCATAGCACCGCACCCAATTTCGCTGGCTTTGGGCTTTTCGCCACCATAGCACCACACCCAATTTCGCTTACTTTGGGTTTTTTGCCATCATAACACCCGCACCCTATTTCGCTAGCTTCGGTTTTTTGGCCGCCGTAGCACCGCACCCAAGTTCGCATGCTTTAGGAGTCAAGCCACCATAGCACCGCACCCAATTTCGCTTGGTTGGGGTTTTTGCCACCATAGCAGCGCACCCAATTTCGCTTGCTTCGGGCTGTTTGCCACCATAACAACGCACCCAAGTTCGCTTGCTCTGGGTTTTTGCCACCATAACACGGCACCCAAGTTCGCTTGCTTTGGGTTTGAAGCCACCATAACACCACACCCAATTTCGATCGCTTTGGGTTTTTTGGACTGGGCCATAACGGCCTTGAAAGCGGCCGGGAATGAGGTCGATTTGGGGGCGTATGGTGGCAAGCGTATACTGGGTTTTTGAACGTAATATACGGGCCTTGATAATTAGAATAGGGTTTGGTGTACATTATGCTACCATTATAGTAAGGAGCCCGCAAAACCCTATTCTAATTATTTTTATTCTTCTTCTTCTAATTATTATTATTATTACTACTATTATTAAGGCGCCTACCTTAACCTCCTTTTTTCCCGAAGCTGATCAGCACAGGTTTCGGGCCGCTTGCCGAGGTGGTGGCAGAGTGCGGTAATGGTCTGGACACAGCACCAGGCGATCCTGGGCTAGGGTTTTCGGTTATAATATATATATATATATATGTATATATATATATATACATTTCTATCTATCTTTCTTTCTATCTATCTATCTATATATATATATATATATATATATAAGGCTCTATCGTTTAGTGTGTAAGGGGCTGTAGAGTTTAGAGTTCATGGTTCATGGGGGTTTGGGTGCTTTAGGTTTCAGGTTTTGTGTTTGGCCTTTGGCGGTTCGGCCCGTGACAGATTTCATTTTGGACGGTCCTGAAAGTGGCCTCAGGGGACGGCTGGCAAACGGTAGCCGTCACCCTTAGCGAGTCACTGGCCTTTTATCTGTAACGAAAGTGATCCTGATTCAGCTAAGTTCATTCCAAAGAATCAATACCTACCAACTCAGAGTGGGCAGGGGCCTAAACTCAGGAAGGTCGGGTGTCCTTGCAGTGCGGGTTGCGAAATGGCTCCTTGTGCATGTGCTCAGGTTACCTTTCTGGGCCTCAGGCCCAATATCCTGTTTAGGGTGTACAGTAGGGATTCTGGAATCCAAGAGTATCAGCATTTAAGCCTTCTTGCACCCCTTTTCATGCACTCCGGGCCACTTCTGGCGATCATGCGATTGCAATGAGGGAAATCTGTAGACATTGCCATAGGCAAAAACGCAGGATCGACGAGTTTCCCCAGTTGCGAAGTGAAAATGACTTAAAGGACACCCCGGGCCCAACTCTCAATATCAAAGTAGAAACCCTTCCAACCCCACAGGATTCTCTACCACGTACACGGCACGTGTTGCGTGGTTCGAAAATAACAAAGGTAAGCGCAAAAGCATCACCATGTGTAACGCTTATTTGTTTAAAAAAATCACCAAAGGCAATCTCCAATGGCACCAGGGTGTTGTGCAGACCAAAGCATTGAGTGGTTGCAAGAGGGTGTGCAGTTGCAACTCCTTGCTTTCCGAACAACAGACCCTAGCCCTGGCAAAATCCCCAACCCGGGTTGAGGGTTTAGGGTCTAAGGTTTGCATCTTTCAGATTGGATAACAAGACCGGTCGAAAGTCTCAGACTCTGAGCTCAGCCATCCTGTAATCAGCAGCCTCAGCCCTAACGCCCACGCCTCAACTCTCGGCCTACAGTTAGTTCGCTTCGGGATCTAGGCTGCTACCGGCTGTGTTAAACAGCAACAACAACTTAGAACCCTCGCAATCCTACCAAAAAACCACAGAAAGAATCACAGTGGCATGCTGGCAATTGTGAGCATAATGGTGAGTGTAGTAGCAATACTAGCAATGGCACTGGCGAAAGGGCTAAACTCCCGAACCCATGGATCACGCGACCCTGACCACATCTAAATTACCCCAAAAGCCACATTCTCTAAACCCCTTTGGGGTTGGGCAGGATACGCTCTTCGAATCGAATCACTGGCAGTGCCCGGGCTGCATTGGAAGAACGGGTGCCACCTTTGGTGAGAGAGCAAGGAGATTTGGTTGGAATTATGGCTTCACGGCTCAGGGTCGTGTTTTTGGGTGTCAGGGCTTTTCCGGTGCTGTTCGAAGGTTCCGGGTCTTGCTTTAGGGGGTGAGTAGCAGCCCAGCCAGCCCGGCGAAATCCGAAAAACCCGAAAACCCATGCACCTGCGACAACGACTGGGTTTCCGGGTTCCGGCTTGGGTTTTTCAGCAGCAACGACGAGCAGTCATGCCAACGAACATCGACGTACGCGCATCGGCAAACGTGGCAAAGCCTCCACCACCTTTGGAGCTCTCAGCTACGGGCTTCCTCGTTCCTCTGGAGGAGGAGGAGGAGGAGGAGCATGAGGATTGTAGAGTAGAAGTAAACCCTAAACCCGGAAACCCCCAAACCCCGAAATCCCCAAACAGTAGGTTCTAGGTATCGAGTCTTTTCCTTACACTGCAACATAACCCAGATCCCTATTCTGACTATTAAGGCCCCATATGTTAAGTACCGAAGCCCGGAGCCTGGCAGGTCTTGGCCTTGGCCCGAGATTTCCAGCTCTTTCCAGGGAGCTCCTCGGTGGAGCCTAGGAGTTAGGGTTTAGGGTTTAGGCAGGAGAGGTTAGGGGGAGTTCAGGGTTTAGGGTTTAGGGTTTAGGGCTTAGGCAGGGGAGGTTAGGGGGAGTTCAGGGTTTAGGGTTTAGGGGATTTAGGGTTTAGGGTTTAGGCAGGGGAGGTTGAGGTTCAGGGGCCCTTCGGCTTCAGTTGCAGCGGTGGTGCTGCACTCTAAGTGGATAGCTTTCTAAGGTCCCCAACATAGTACGGCACCCTTACAAAAAGCACCCCAAAAGGGACCCTAATTTAGAGAGCTACCCAAGTGTTCTTTGTGTTTTTCGTTTTGCAAGTTGGACACCAGGCTTGCCTAGGCAAGCATGGTGGCGCCGCAGGTCAGCTGATGTGCAAGCTAATGTTGGTAGGGGCGGGCCTCAGCTAGTTTGACATGCGGGTCAGAATAATTACCCATGTGATTCCTCAGCGGCTCCTTGCTATAATTCTACCGAAGTATGCTCCAAAACCCTGTTGTAATCATTGCCTCAGGGTTTAGGGGGGCAAAGTACCGTGAGCCCGGTTTACACGTGCAACAACCAGAATCTATGTTTGGGGTTTAGGAATTTAGGAGTTGATGGCTCTAGGGTTCAGGGGTTTGGGGTTAAGGAGTTTAGTGTTCTCGACAGACTGAGTGCCCTGGGGTTGGAGAGAGAGAGAGAGAGAGAGAGAGAGAGAGAGCTAGAGTTCTCGAGAGGAGTTGCAGAGAATGACTTTCAAAGGCAGTTAGGTGAGATAAGCTGTTTGCATGTCCCCTATGCTGCGTACAGCTGGCTGCCGACGCATCACTGCGGCTATTCCTGGCATGTTCCGTGTATGACTTGGAGTATTAGCTGAAGGTCCCAACCCCACAGCACCACATAGGAGCAGAAACCTTGCGGGAAAGTGCACCAGGCGAACTCAGTTTGCGGAATCTGGAAACCAAGTTCTCAGAGCATCAGGAATCAGCCACGTAGGACCCACCGCAATCACACCTGAACAAAGATATACGACGTGAATGCCAGCACGCGAGAAAACGCATCAAGACACGCGCTGCCCGTACCAAATGCGCCGCGACACTCACAGGACCATGTGCCGAAAGGGGCGGGGCACGGTGTGGATTAGGTCCTCTCATTGTCGGCAAGTCCTACTCTAACGCTGCAACGCGAGAAAGGTATCCCAACCTACACGCTCAACAGTTGGACCTTGGATCCCTAACAAAAAGGCTGCCTAAGGACGGTTCCCCTAAGGTCAAGACAGACTCCTACTGTATCTGGAGAAGATCTCATACTTCTAGGATACTCTTCACATGGACCCATGAGACTCTGGAGCAGAGCTCGCGGGCTTCGGATTTAGGGTTTAGGGTCGTTTTGGACTGCAGTCCCTGCGCAAAAAGGGCCATTTTGGAGGGCCCCCACTATTTCTTGAGACGCACCATCGAGACAGACACTGAAACTAGCTTGGTTCACATTACAGAGCTCCCGTCTCGCAGTGCAGGTGATGGACGTCGGAGGCGCTTCGATGTCCCGCAGCTGCATCGACCGAATGATCTATAGTAAACCCTACGTACAACTCTGAGCGCATTGATGATGTTCCAAGGGTCTGGATACGTTTGCTGTAGGATGTTCTGTTATCTGCGGTTACTGAAAGCCAGAGAACGCTGCAACTTCATGACCCAGTGTGGGGCAACACTATGCAAGAACCTGGAATCAGCCCTTCAGGGTTGGAAGTTTGGCATACATTCAAGCTTTTTGGGTCGCAGGATGTTGGGCCTAAGGCGGCTTAAGGTCTTGAGATCTCCTGCACTTCCTGCGATGAGCACCTGAAGGCATGTGACGTGTGAGGCGATTTGGCGGGGCTTTGGCGCTTGCAGAAAGCGGCTGCGTGCCATGCGGATTGACAAGAGAGCGACGGCTAGGACGGCATGAACCCCGTGAGTCTCCTTACACTAAGCATAAGAAGGTGATTGTTGACTCCGTTCATGTATCGAGCCTGGTTGACGGAGCCAGTATCGGTTGCCTGTTGATGCCTACTGTTGTTGCGACGTTGTTTTTTGGAATGTGCTGCAGGTGAGGCAACATGACACGCTGGTTGGTTAGCTTATGAAAGAGCCTTTCCGAATTGCGCTGCCGCGGGTAACATGGTTAAAAGCATCAACACTTAGAAGGTACGAATTGCCAATGCTTCGTTGTTGCTAACATAGATAGTGCCATATGGTGCCAATATTGTCGAGCATATTTTGGGCATTGCGACGAACCATACGAACATAAGCAGGGATCTGCTGAACCAGCTCCGGGCCAGACACAGCGCCGCACCGCACGAAGCGCACTCAATCGCTCCCCTGTTCACGTTGACAAACTGCTAATCAAGCTTTGTGTTGGTGTGAGTGAGTGTGTGAGTGAGTGAGTGCATGGCATGTTTTCTGCCATAGTGGTACTATTAGCACTAGTAGTACTAGTAGTACTAGTACTAGTTTTAGCAGTCGTCGTAGTAGTAGTAGTAGTAGTAGTAGTAGTAGTAGTAGCAGTAGTAGTAGGAGGAGGAGTAGTAGTAGTAGTAGGAGTAGTAGTAGTAATAGTAGTAGTAGTAGTAGTAGTAGTAGTAGGAGTAAGAGTAAGAGTAGTAGTAGAAAGTAGCAGCAAGCTGAATGATCGCATAAAGCACAACCCCAAAGATCTGATGCGGACTCACGACGACACTAGGAAATTCCCGGCATGGAGAAAGAAATGGAAGGCCCTAAGAGTCTCAGGAAACGTGCTGAACGACGATAGATCATTTTTGGGCCTTTTTTTGTAGGATAGTTTTGATAAGGAACCCTTGAGGAATAATATCGATCATTTTTGGGCCTTTTTTTTTGTAGGATAGTTTTCATAAGGAACCCTTGAGGAATAATATTGGGGTGATTATTTAGGGTTGTGAAGTCGAAGCCAGCGGTAGTGTTCGCAGGAGGTCGTTTTATCAATCCTACAAACTCTCGCGTCCCGCTGCACGGGCCTCTATGAGCCACGGTCAACGCCTATGATCGTCTCGCGATTATCAGAAATACTAGCCCTTCAAAGTCTCCGTTCGAACTATAATAGCGCAAGAATATACCCCCAAACCGGCCAAACCCTATTCTATTGATTCAGGCACCTATATTGGATCAAGTCCTCCTTCGAAGGACCCACGCAGAGAAGTTGCGAAAGGAGTGGCTTCTGGCTGAGCAGCCTCTGGGGCTCCTCGCCAAAACGCTGGTCTAGCTTTCAGCTCAAAATTCTGAGAGAGACCTCGTCTAGCTGCACCAAGAGCGCCGAGATGTTCGTTCAACATTTGCTACCGGAAAGTCGCTTCCAATTTAGCTAACCCCTGCAACCCAACAAGCTACAACCCTTAAGGCTCAAACCCTGAACCCCCGCGTCACCTGGTTACCCGAGAAACCTTACACCACCACTAGCCCTTTTGTCCGGGTTGCGGAAGCGTAAATCGAAAAAGCATCGCACAACTTCAAAATTCCAAAAGCCGCTTGTCTGATCCTCAGCAATTCAAAACACAGTGGTGGGCAGATCCGGCACAGACCTCACCTGCCTTTCCTCGTTCGCTAGGTCCACGCCTATTACCACAAAGCCTAAGAGCACAAGAAGTCTAATGCTTTCTGAAAACTGAAAACTCGTGAAACCTTGAGTGCCTTGCAGAGATTGAGTCGCTTCCTGTGTAGGCATAAGTTCCTTCTGCTGACGGACTGCCAGCCGCAATCAGGCCTCTGATGCTGGGGGGGGGGGGGGGGGGGGGNNGGGGTTTTAGGATGCCCCGCGACTCAATTCCACAACCCGCGAAGCCACTTGAGGGTTGAGGTTGGGTCGTATAGAGTCGGTGGTTGAAAGGGGATCTTGGTTTTGGAAGAACTGGGTCACGAAGGTGCAGGTTCAAGACCCCCGATCCAAGCTTCAGGCGTGGAAGGTTCGGTTTCTTTTGCGGGATACAGGTTCGCGTTGGAGCTTATGGAGGGGGTCTGAAGGTCAGTTCGTAAGCATTCTGCCATTAAGATCTTTCGTGGTCCTTTTGCTTTTGTCTCTTGGTGAGTTCTGCTGTTAAGGGCGAGGGCAAGTGTCGGCACAAACATCGTTGCATTCACCCCATCCTTGTTGATCACGCAGGCCTTTTGGCAACTTGTTCCAACATCATATATGCGTCCATGATGGCACAGAAGCTTCTTCAAACGGATGCGCACGCGCTGTCTTTATGTGTAGATGCTACGTGATTGCAAACGTGCCGTTTCACATGCTAGTTCCTAAACCCTCAACCCTACACCCTTGACCGTTATAGTTGGCAGCAGCTGGAGTTTAGGCGCCGATCCACGGAAAGTCACTGGAAAAGACCTGAGAACTCTTGCGCTGCATTGGTCCCATGTGCTGGAGGCCTGGGTTCTAAGCCTCGCTCCCTTTGGTTTGAGCTTTGCGTTCAGGGTCTTGCGGGCCTTGCGGAGGTTTGATGGAGGACTCCGCTTAGGCCTTATGTATGTTTTTGGACTTGACAAGTTTTGGGTCTGGGGTTGTGAGAGGCTCGGCAGCGCCTTTTTCAATGAATGATTCTTGTGAGGCCTCACCACATGGACTCCAGGACAGAGCGAAAGCTCGACAGACAGGATAAGTTTCTCTGATGACTACGCTGTGATCCGGGCCTTTCCTTCAGTTTCGGATGCTCTGCTTCAGAAGGCCCTCGGAGACATGGTCAGCTGGAGTGAAGTTGCAAAGATGCGGCAGCACTAAGCTTATACTGTGAGATGCTTGCAAGGACAACAAGCGAGTGCTGATGGTCCATCCCCGAAAAGCTTTGATTCTCCTTTGCTTGCAGTATTTCACCTGCCAGTGCGCCTGCTCTGAGGCCTTGTGTTAGCTTGTGCGGAATGCTAAGCATAAATAGGTCCGGAAAGGCACTCCCGCACCAGAGCGAAAATAATTCCCTTTGTCGATGTTCAACTCTGAACCCAAGCTCCTTTAAGACTTGAAAGCACAGAGTGGGCCCCGAAACCCAAAACTACAGCTCTGAGTGGAGTCGCAGGCCAGCCTTTGCTGGGTCTGCCTGGAGGTTTGTCAGGCAGGGGCTGTTCATGTCGCTGTTTGACCTGTGGCGCGGGTCTACAAAGCTCTGCGAGCCCAAATGTGATGAAATGTGCATTCACATTTGGTTTCCTCCCTCTCTGTCTGTCTGTTTGTCTCTCTCCCTCTCTCTCCATCTCTCTTTCTCTTCCTCACCCCATCCCTCATCATGATGATAGAAAAGCCACCGGCCTACAATACACACACACACACCCGTACATACACATACACAGGTGTATATTTATAGTTGTTTATATATATATATATATAGTGTTTATGTATTTGTTTAATTACGTGTAAACAGACAAATTGTGTCTTGCGGCACTCTCTGGAGACTGCATCGGGCCTGCAGTGCGACGCTCGCTGAATGTATGTAGGTATGAATGTATGCTTGTGCATGCATGCATGCATGGATGGATGTATGTATGTGAAAACAGAGAGAGAGAGAGAGAGAGAGAGAGAGAGAGAGATATATATATATACGTACATATATATATATATACATAGATACAAGCAGAGGCACAGTAAGAACACACACACACACGTGTTCATGCTTACAGGTATGTGGTATGCACAGGCCGAATAGGGATGAAGCTCATAGCCGAGGATTTGCACTTGTTCCGTGTTCAGGGATCCTCGTGAAGCTTTCGGACGCACTTGAGAGGCCTTAGCCACCTCGATGCTGCCATGCTGGTCTCTGGCCACCAGCCACAGCTGCCGAGCGAAGCCGAGTTCTCAGACAAAGACTGGGCTTCTGTTGGCCAGTCGGGCTCGCTAGTTGCATGCAGACACCAGGTTTGCGGTTCGCTTTGCTTTCAGGGACCTAGTCCTCAGATGTTTGAAATATATAACCACCGGTCGACAGTGGAGGCTTTAGGGTGGGAAGGGATCATTGGACTAAACAAGGGCCTAAAGAGGCTTACCAGGCCGCTCCCGGAATGTCAAGACTCGGAGGGTTTGGATGATTCCTTGTGCCAGCTGGCTGAGACTCCGCATGCAGATCATGTGAAGCGCTGGCCATAAAGCTGAAGAGCTACATCCAGTGGCCATTCTAACCGAAAGGCCCGACGAGAACCGTCCTGCCAAGACCGTAAGTCGAAGACACTCACGCATCAAGATGAGACCGGGGGATTTAAAGAAAGCATGTGGGGTTTGGTTTGGGGGGGCCCCCTTCTTTTCTGAAACTAAGTGAGTTCTTGTTTGGATCCTTGTCTAGGCCAAACAGTAGCCATCCGCCTGCCTGTCGCTCTTTCTTTACATAGTTCTCTCTCTCTCTCTCTATCTCCCTCTCTTCGTCTGCCTGCCTGTCCGTCTGTCTGTTTGTCGCTCCATCGCCTACCCTTCCACTTGTCGATCTATCTATCTATCTCATTATCTCGCCATCTGTCGATTCTGTTTAACCTATCTGATCGTAGATCTTCTCATCTTTTTCATCTCCTCTAACCTAAGCGTAAGCCAAGCCTAACCTAGTCTAACACATCTAAATCTGATCTAGTCTGGTCGAGTCTGATCCCACCTAGTCTAGTTTAGTTTAGTCTAGATAATGTTTAAGCCCATGTTCGACTCTCCCTCTAAATCTGGCGCAACGTAAGTCGACACTCACCTCTCCTAGCCCAGTCAAGCCGGATCTAGGTCTAAAAAATATGCAATTCAAAGTAAGACTGAAGTCTAACCCAAATCGAACCGAATGTAATCCAGTCTAGCCCAACTGAAGCTATCTACAAGTCTGGAAATGAGTATACAGAAAGATATACAGACACATGTATATATGTATGAATGAATGAACGGAATGAGATGACATGGTATAGTGAATGGAATGGAGAGGAGCGGAAGGAATGTAATGGATTGAAATCAGATGGAATGGAAGGGAATGGACGGGAATGAATGAATGAAATGAATGAACGAACGAATGGATGGAACGCATGAAGGAAGGAATGAAGGAATGAAGGGATATATGTATGTATGTATGTATGTATGTATGTATGTATGTATGTACGTAATTAACGTATGTATGTACGTATGTATGTGTGTCTGCATGTATTCATGTATGCATGCCTGTATGTATGAATGCATGTACGTATGTATCTATGTGTGTATGTATGTACTGATGTAGGCATGAAGATGATGTGATGTGTGGCTTCTGATGTTCATGTATCTAGATGCCGACGCCAGCTATGATCTTGGCCGCACGTTTGTGAAGTTTTCGTTGTGACTAGGGGCTTTGGACTTCAAGAGGCTTTGGGTTCAGGGCTCAGGGTCTTTCGCCTTCAGAGGCTTTGGGTTCAGAACTTATTGTTTAATCTGGGGGGCCTCCGTACTTACCTATACTATGTTGGGGCTCCTTATAAGAACTATGATATAAAATACCCCAAAAACCCAACCTCACTTGTTAAGGCCCCTACATTAGGTTGATTAAGGGGCCATTTAGAAGCTTGAAGCTACACCCTGAGCCTGAGCCCTAAACATCATGTGGCAGGGATTGCCCCTATGCCCACGACAAGCAGGATCCGATGCCGCTAGGCTGAGATGCGTGAGCCTTCGAAACCTGAGGGTCCGCTCCGGTTTGGAACCCTCAAATGTGGATGTCGCTGGCTTCAGCCCGGAAAGACTGGTCACTCCGAGACCCTTGTAAGATCCCTTAAAGGGGGCCTTAGAGGCACCGCTACAGGGATTATTACGGACCTTGATGGGAACCCTTGCAGGCAACACTTACACGAAAGCTCTGGTGCTTAAGGCTGCTCCATCTGGTGGCCTCCCGCATGCTCGAGGTGGCCAATGAGGGCAGCAAGGTCTTGAAGAGCAAGGAGCCGTCGTAGGAACCATAGAGACAGAGAGAGCAAGAGCGAGAATGGCTAATAATATGATTCCTTAGGGTTCATTAGTATAGTTCTACTCGAATAAGCCTCCCAACCCTAATCTGAGTACAAAGGCTATATGATAGTAAAGACAACGGTTAACAGCGAGCGCTAAAGCCTGAGTTATAGTTGCTACTTGCAATAGCTCAGCGTAAAATCATAAGTTTAGGCCTTGCCAGGAGGAGTCCGACAAGTCTTCTGAAACTCTATCTCCAAATCATCGAGTGTGGTTGGGTTTTGGGTTGAGGGCTAGTTCGAAGGCCCGAGATGACTACCCACCCTGCGAGAAGCGAAGCAATGCAGAACGTCATTCTCTCTTGGAATAAAGTTAACCCATGCCCGACTTTGGTAGCTGAGAATGGGGGGAAACGCACCGCAGCACCCGACTGTGGCGTGGTGCACACTTTTGATCAATATCGCGTTCTTTCCACAGTCCTGTGCCACACACACCCGCCCAGAACATCGAATGTCAGGCATGAAGCAAGCCCTAGCAGTGACACACTATTGAGGCTCCTAGGGGCTCCACTCCCGGCGTTCGAAAGAGTTTCGGAATTTGTCGACGTTCGATTACGTCTTCCCGCCAGTGCCGGGCGGGCGTACTTCGAGGCGCGCATCGTCTTCATGCCTCGGCCTCATGCACGAAGCCGTGCTCCCAGCACACTGCCGTGCACATGTTTAAGGCGGCCCGTTTTGTGCCTCCAGAAAATGCTCCCGCTGCAATCGCAGCATCTACGCCTACAGTCTGGGGTGCTTGCCAGCCTCGAGAAGTGCTCTTTCACTGTCGGGATCTACGCTGGCAGAATTAAAGCTTCCCGCGTTGGCTTTAAGAGGATCCTATTCAACAATCACGTTCGAATGCTTGTTGTCAAGGGTTAACCAGGTGTTTGAGGGCAGATTGGGGTGCACGTGGTTTCTTGGGCTGGCCGAGTCTGCGGTCGTGGCTTCTTACGCCCTAGCGAGCATCAACTGAAGCCCAAAGCGCTGGAACCTATAAGTCATCCCTCAGCACCTCGTGAAGTCAAGCCTCAAAATGCTCTTCCGAGCTTTCATGCGTCCAGAGCGGACGAGCGGACGAGTCGAAACCCATGCCTTTACATAAATCAGTTTGAAGCCCGCAAGCCCTAAACCCGAACCCGCGCCGCGGGGAGCGAAAACCCTGGGTTTAGGGTTTAGGGCCTAGGGCTGAACCCCAGTCTTTCTGAAAGAAAGGACTTGCAGACGGCCTTTTCCATGCTTGGGTGGCGTGGGCTGCAGGGATGTGTCTGGCTCAAGGCATGGGATTCAGGTATCTTAGCATTCAGGGTTTCATTGCATAAGACGATTGGGGTGCAGAGTTGTAGGGTTCAAGGCTTTGTGGTGAAAGTTGCTACAAACTATTATCCACTCAGGGAGCTCACCCGAAAGCGCTATGTCGAGTCCGTCCCAGTAGGGCTTGGGGCATGAGTATGGTTGTGTCGGAACCCTGCATCCTGCCTGAAACCAACGTTTGGGCGGCTGCGGTTCCGATGTTCAAAACCATTAAGCTGAAAAACCAATCAGGGGTCTCGGGTTCAGGGTACCAGCATGGATACCCTCACGGGGCTTCCTTTTTCGGGGCCGTCAAAGCTGCCCACCTACATGATGCAGGGCCCTGGTGAAAACGCTTGTTGTCGCCAAGGGGCGCAGTGATCCCAAGCCTACGTGTCGTCATTCGAGGGAGAAGGGTGGTGTAGGGCTCAGCTCACACATGTCCTAAACTTGCACGTGCAGCTTGAAACACAGCCGCACAGATCACAGAGATGTAGTTGCGCACAGTCTGAAGTTCTTGTTTAGGAGTGATGTGGGCGGCATTTCCGAATCCCCCCTCAACCCTAAACCGGAAGCTCTACAGCCTACATCCTTTATATCTCAGGCCAAGTGGGCCCGCGACAGTCTTGTTTCAAAGATCGTTGCGCACCTTCAGGTGTGCACCGAAGAAACAACACAGTCCAAGGGTAGTCCAAGCAAAGACAGCCTCAGAACCCTGGATAGGCAGGAAGATCCGACATCATGCTTTGCAGAATATAGGGATCAAGAAGTAGAAGGTCCACACAGGGAGGGGACGAGCCCGAAATGCCAGCGTTTAATTCTTTTGTCACTCCGGACGTAGGGGGATTGCACCCCTTCTGGGAAATCCGAAAACCCCATTGCCCTCGACTCCCAAAGCCTTGGCTTACACCCTTTGAGGACGATGGCCATGGAGGCACTCGGGGGGCCGGAGCTGTGGAAGAAGCGCAGCGAGCTTCCTGAGTCACGGGCCCGGGTGGGTTTCCGAAAATAGCTTAGAGAGTCAGGTTTGCTTTAGGACTGCTGTTATGTCTGGCATCCTCGTTGTCGTGATATCTTTGTTGATGCTTATGGTCGTGGCCGTCGTCGTTGTGGTTGCAATTGTGACTATTGTCTTTTTCTGCTGCATGTGTTTCGACGTCGTTGTGCTGGTGCTTGTGGTTGCGGAAGTGACTGTTGATTTTGCAGCAGGTTTCTGCTATTGAAGTTCTTGTTGCAACTGTTGCTGATGCCGCCGCCGCCGCATGCTAATGATGCCTATGGCCGCTACCTGCTTTGTAGGGTGGATCTGGTTGTAGCAGTCTTCGTCGTTGGCCTGTTGTGGTGGTGGCCGTCGTCATCGACGTCATTGGTACAAGCTTTGACAAGCAGGTATATAATATAGGGGCCTTAATAATTAGAATAGGGTTTGGGGTGTATACTACACTATAACCCCCAAAACCCCATTCTAAATATTAAGGCCCTACATTATAGCATTCTGTTGGTGTTTGAAGACATGTAGTGGCAGTCACTGTGGCAGCTGCTGCTCGTATCTGCCCAGTAGTAGTAGTAGTAGTAGTAGTAGTAGTAGTAGTAGTAGCAGTAGCAGTAGCAGTACCAGTAGTAGTAGTAG